GGGCCAAATCTGGACTATAGGGAGGATGATCTATCTGTTGGAATCCACACTATAAAATGGCAGCTTGTGCAACACCAGCAGTGTGGACAGGTGCATTATCGTGCAAAAGACGCACGCCTCTGGTCAGTTTTCCTCGATGTTTTACACGTATGCAGTATCACAATTTATGTAATAATGTTGCGTAATATTTACCGTTGACAGTGGTATTAGTTTCTTTAAAATCTATCAAAAGAGTTCCTTCACAATCCCAGGATATCGTGGCCATCACCTTTTTTGTTGACTGGCAGACTCTGAATTTTCCTGGAGGTGCTTCACTCTTACGACACCATTCCATTGATTCTTTTTTCGATAGAGGGTCATAATAGAGAACCATAGTTTCATCTTCCGTCAGAATAGTTTCTATCACAGGCTTCGGTTCCGACCCACAGAGTTCCAAAAAAGACCGCGCATACTCGACACGGCGTTGTTTTTGAATAGCCGAAAGGTTTTTAGGAACCCATCTTGCGCTAACCTTATACATACCTAAATGATCATGCAGGATTCGACGTATCAGAAAGTTTAGTAATTTTTGAGATTTCCTTGACCTTTAAACGTCGATCACTCAATACCACCTCTTCCACAATAGCAACAATATCTTATGATTATGACCTCCGCTGGTCGACCAGTTCGTGGATCATCTTCAAGGGACTCCTGCCCCATTCGAAAACGTTTTGCCCATTCTTTTACTACAGAATACGAAGGAGAACTGTGGCCGTACACACCATCCAGCCTTTCTTTAATAATTTTAGGTGCTAACCCTTCTTTTGTCAAAAACTTTATGACTGCTCTATACTCAATTTGCGTTATTTGCGACTTTTTTTCGGACACGTCTTGTTTAAAATGCTGTCAATAAAAAACTATTTGAGGCAAGACTTCATTTTTTTTTCGCAGCCAACTAAGATATATATTTAAAAGAGGACAAAGTTTTATTGTGATACTGGAGCTGCGTCAGGCCGTAAAAGTATATAGTTGTATTTTTTTTCTCTTCTGCACTTAGATGTACTGTAAACATACTATGTATTGTAATTCAGTCAAATAAAAAAAAACTATATATCTTGTTTATAAGAACGCACATATTGTAGACGCATAATAATATTGCATGAAGTGAAGATATTATTTTCTATTTTTCCTAATTGGTTGAGAAAAATAAGATTTATGTATTTCTCATTAAATTGTTGAATAATATAAATTTAAGCAAAATTTCAAAATTTGTGAGAGCTACACCATATCTAATAGACCACAGCACCATACTAATAAACGAGAAAGATTTCTTTTGATTTGTTGTTGTCTACAGTTTTTTGACAACAAAATTGCGTTTGCGTGGTATGTGATTATGAAATGGACAATTAAAAAACATTTAACGTTACAGTTTATCAATAAGTTTTAAAATAGAAAAATTAGGAGAATTTCTGATTTTTGCACGAAGAGCGGCCATGTTTCAAGTTTACTTTATTACATTTCTTAAAGAAGTATACGATACAAAAAATTTTAAGCATTTTTTTTTAATTATAACTCTTTTATTTCGACAAATTCAAGGAGGCTGTTTTTCGAATGAACACCCTATATACATATCTAATCCACTCCCCAGTTCTAAAATGACTGCGACGAAAATATTCTCTACGGACAAGGGCCACTTTTGCGGTCGAGGTTTCACATTAAAATCTCATTATTTTCTACAACGCTAATATCTTATTGATCGTTCCGATCAATTTTTCTTCCAGCCAATTTTTGCCACGAATTGTTAGAAGGCGAGTTTTCCCGCGAACTCCGTCTGCCATGGGCGCGAAAGTGATCCCTCAAAATTTTAAATCTCGGCAGCCACGATGCAATTTACATGTAGCGAAAATATTGCAACCTACCAATCTGCACTACAAGTGACAGATAAATTTAAAATTTGCGCAAGGTGCTTATAAAATGTAAGCAAAGTGTTGAAAAAAAGGTTATCAAGAAAATTAGGATTTCTCAAAAAAATGGAATGGTTTATTAGAATGTTTAAATATTATTAACTTCCCGACTCCTTTAAACAAACCTCACGCTTTTTGGCAAAGATAAATTAATTTAAATTTTAATATTTAATACCCGTTAGTTTGTAATCTATCCAGCAATACCAACTCAAACGCAGAGAAGCAAGGCTGGAGATAAAAACAATAATTCTGATCTAAGTTCATTTCTCATTACGTTGCTGGATGTAAATTGAACTTCAGTTTCGCAAAACTGCTCTCAAATTATGTATGACATGTAACATAATTTTGCTTTGCTTGTAAGTTATATAATAAAGGTAATAAAATAATACAGCCACCGCATTGATAATAAACAAGTACGTACAAGGGCTTGTAAGAACCAAGACATGTAAAACACTTCTTTTTTGAGAAATCTCAAGTTTAAAGGTACACCATTACTGAAGCTCAAAAAACTTGACTTTTAATAAAAAATGTTACCTAATTAATAAAATGGATTATGAATTAAGAAATTTTACCTTCTGCTTCTAGGAGAGATTGCTGGGGAAACAGTTTCAATAAGAAATTTTGTATTTTTTGCGGCAAAAACTTCTTATTATTCCGTTATAGAAAATGATCAGTATTCATTCAAATATTTCTATATCCAAAAAATCTTCATTATTAAATTCGCATATTCTTATAAATTTTAACAAGTAGAAATGTAATGGTATGAACCAGCGAGCACAAACTGTGAAGTTGGAAAAGCAGAGTCAACCGAATTTGAGCTAGAATCTACATAAAATACTGTTTATACAACCAACCCTTAACGGTCAAACCTCGGTTTAAACGTAATTTTACCTAATATGACAAAGAATTTGCTAAATTGAAAAATATTAACTGTTCAGCTACTTATTAATTAACTTAAAAAATCGTAATACAATGAAGTACGGATATAGTGAACTCGAAAGTTGCATCAAAATTAATTCGCTGTATCCTAGGTTTACTATAAGCAAAAAATTAACTTTTGTACACAACTGATGTTTACTGGATGAATGGAGGTATACTATGTAATATTATATACGTTGGTCTTGTAAAAAAATGATACGATATAGCAGAACTTTTCTAGATTATATATATATATATATATATATATATATATATATATATATATATATATATATATATATATATATATATATATATATATATATACATATATATAAATATATATATACATATATAAATATATATATATATATATATATATATATAAATATATATATATACATATATATATATATATATATATATATATATATATATATATATATATATATATATGTATTACGTAATGTTGGAAAAGTGAAAATTAAATATCACTCTGTACAAAACAAGTAATAAGTCAACAAGAACAAGTAAGCAATATCTAAAAAAAATAAACTAAAAAAAAATACATATATCCATCTACTCTTTTATAAACAAGTCGGATATTTTCATTTGTGCGAGTCTGTTAGTTTTGGTTAGTTAGTTAGTTATATATATAATTATATAGAATTCAATTTTCCAGGAACGTCGCGTGACTCCAAAAACGTGCGAATCTCTATTATTTTTTCCGTTGTGTCTTCACTCAATTCTGCATTTGCTTCTGAAAAAAATAAGGTAAATCAGTCATTATTTTAATGTTACATTTCATGTTATAGATACCTGTTGACGCTAACTGGATAATTTCGTATTCTGTTAAACATTCGGTTGGAATAACTTGATCGTCTATTGAAACGTAACTTTCGAAGTCGAAATGTTCAATCTTATTCGTAATCTCTGCTTCAAGGGCTTTCTGGGTGTCGGTATTTTCTTGATCTAACGAATGTTTTTTAGCCATTCCGTTAGAGGCAATTCATCATCAGAGTCAAAATCATTTCCTGCTTCCAAAAATCCTGCATGCTTATAACAGTTTGCAATAGTGTTTTTGCTAACTTCCTGACATGCACGGTGAATAAAAAATTTGCAGCAACCAATAAGCTCACTGAAAACTCTTGTCCTTCAAATTGCTTCTATCATCTTTATAAGCAAAAAACCCCACTGTAATAAAATATATGTATAGGTATGGTAGGTTTGGATGAGGGTTTTGTTTATTTCTTTGGATTCAGTATATTTTTTTGTTTAGTTTAAGGTTATAAGAATAAAATTATGTTTCGTTTTTGTTTCTTTTCTTAACTTATTTTTGGTTTTATAAAGTTACCCTAGATACCACCCTATTAAAAAAAGTCATACTTTTTATAACAAAGGCCGCTATTTACTTCACCCTCAAAAGTCTAGCCTTAGCGCTTTTCAAATTTTCTGACAACCCTGTAAATATAAAAAAAGTTAGTCTCGAATGTTCCAGAATTGCTAAAAATTAACTAAAATATTAATATTAATAATAATTATTTCTTTAATTATAGCTTGACATTACAAGTCACATGGGTATACAAACAATGTAAGTTACAAAAACACTGTCGTTGTCACAAACACAAGCCTAAATTAAGAATATTTATAAAAATGCATTTTTAACAGCAATTTTATAGCGTTTGTTATACTCGAAACAGCCTGCATTATTCACAGTATAAGTTGTTTAGGGACCCTGAGAAATGACGAAACAATTGTATCGTGTCTACCACAACAAAGTTAAGAAGAAGTTAAAACTAACTACATAAGAGCAATTGTTAAGTGATTAAAGTGAACTGTATTCACATATTAATTTAGGATCATGAGAAATGACAGCGCACTAAGATATTATCTTTCGCTTTCTCACACGAAAGTACCCGCTACATGTAACTGCTATCACTTTGGGTACCCGTTTTTTGTTGTGGAATACTTTTACCTTAAAATTACCCAGCCACGCGCATTCTTTCAGACCCACCCGAAAAAATCAATCAAATTAAATAGAAGGAGCGATACGCAATAACGGAACGTCCAATTAAATTTTGCCGCCTACCCGCGTCTAATTTTGAGTGGTACCGGTTTCTTATAATACCAAGCTCGATTGTTCCAGGTACTCGCGAGTTATCTCGTTATCGTTTCGCTGGGATAACGAAAAAATCCATTTGCGCACAATCGCGATTTGATTGCGCTTAAACGGACTTAGATTAAACGTTCAAATTGTATTACGTATGGGAAAACTTGTGGTGTTTAAACTCGGTGAGTCTTCAACTTATTTTGAGTGCACTCTTTGACATATTTAAAGTGAAGTAGTAGCAAAGTAGTACCACTCTACTTACTAAATTACAAAGAACATCATTTTGTACGATATCTTTGGAGATATTTAGCCAAACTTAAAGCTGTATGTATACTGCGCCCCATTTTGGTATGTCCTTTCTTAGTGAACATAGAGCCTTGCGTTTTCGTACCTTAGGCACCTTTTTGTGGAACGAAAGATGAAGTTAACAAAATTTTCATGGCTTGCTTGGTTTTTAAAATAAATTTGGACATTTGCAGTTTTAGGGCACCCCTCGTTTCTCGGCTATCCTATCAAATATCCGAAAAGTGAAAAGTGCTACTATATATACTACTATATACTACCTAGAATTCAGTGGCTTAGTAAGTGTTTTTCTAAATGGTTTCGTCTTTTTGAAAAAAAAATAAAGTTTGTTTTTTTGAATGGAATACCCTATATCTTATAGGGCAATTTGATTCCGCTTGGTATGAGATTCTCAAAAATGTATAACAGTAAGGGGTTATTTCTATAAATAACCTCACAAAGGTGATTTTATAAAATTTTCATAAAGATATTTGCGGGTAGGATTTATTAAATATCTCAAATAATTGTCATATTCATTCTTGAAAATACTTACACAATAACTTTTATAACTTACATAAAACCAACGTAGTTATTAACAAACATAAACCTAATCAAGAACCTACATATTAAAACAATTATTTAAAATGATAAGGAACATAAAAAATAGCACTTTTTTCAAATCTGAACATAATCATTTTCATTTATAAAGCTAACAAACCGGTCAAAATGTCAGTGACATTGACATATATGTATCTGAAGTCATGAAAATTTTAACAAAATAAATAGGAATTAAAAGTTCAGATTTTCACGAAATTATATATTTTGACATGACAATTGTTCCGACAACACCGTGTCTTTATCAAATGTAATAATTACAAACTACCTGCTACTATATATACCGAAAAATGACCATAAAACCATAATTAATGTTGTTGCAAAAATTTAAGTTCAATAAAGGAGAGGTATTTAAATCTAATTGATCGTTAAGCAATACATTTGAATGGTTCATTTTGTTAATCTCCATGGCTTCCAATAAATTTAATTTTCTACTTTTTGTGGTTGCGTGTAATACATCAAAATTGTCGTCAAAAATGTGTTTTTCTGTGTTTAATACAATAATAATATATAATTTCGTGAAAATCTGAACTTTTAGTTCTTATTTATTTTGATAAACGAATTTTCATCAAGTAAAAGCCACCTCAGTTCAATTTTCGAAAATTTTAACGTTAACGTCATCTTTCGTTACATACCCTCAGTCGCGAGCAAACTGGGACACAGTGTATATTGTTGATGGTTTTACGGTCAATCCTCTTAATAGAGCTAGAGCTAGGGTGTTGCGATTCGTCAACGGAAGCTACTTTGAGACGAAAGGTGGGCAGAAACAGAAATGTCACAGCTTATTTTGGATTTTCAGATAGACGGTGATTTTGATAAATTTTCATTTATTAGACACCCTTTGTAGTTCTGTTGAGCGATAGCTTATCGAAAAAGTGAACATTGATCTGGATTGGGGTTTTTACGTACAGTTTTTTTCTGAGATTCGCAACTTTTGATATATAATCTTATGTATTTTTTATCTTGATATTTAATCTTTTTATTAGGCGTATTATGAACTTTAACAAAATATGTAACATTTATAAAGCAATATATCTTTAATTTTATTTAGATATTCGTAAGAGAGATACGACGCAAAACCATGGAAAATAGGATACACTGTACAATTATGTTTTCAGTGTGCATTTATTTATATTACGGGAATGAAACAACATAAGAAACCCATGACTCCGCAATGAGTAAAACCCTAATTTCAGGACTTTATTACCAAATCAGATGAGTTCCAATTATTATTGAAACAAGTATAGTGAATCTCAAAGTATATCGTGTTCCCTTTTGGCGGATCCTACCCTAATAAACCTTAAGCGGTTTTATTGGCTATTGGGCAAACCCATCGATAAATAATTTATTCATGCTTGAGTGACAAGGCAAGGGTGGGCTAGGTATTTCTTGAAGTTGGGCTATTAGTTATATTAATGTGTCGGCTGATATTTGACTGCCAGTCTATAATAATCCTCTTTACTATGGGTTTTGAAAACGTTGTTTTACGCGAATATTGGGCTTTCAAGACCATTCGTTAATTATTGACTTATTATTATTGCAATGGACGTTAGATAAGGGGCATAAAAAAGTTTTGTTCAGAAATACTTATTTTATTTCAGTCAAATTTTTGGACGAACAGAAGTTTTATTCGTTGTTTACAACGAAGTTCAAACCATTACTATTGTTTACTTAAATGTTACTCATGGGGGAAAAGGGATTGAGAAAGAGGATTGAGTTTTCATTTGCTTTATCCAGAAAGTGCCAAAAAGTTTATATAGGAACCAAATATGGAAAATATTTCGTGGAAAGAAGAAAAGTATGGACACACAAACTTCGAACAGCAAAATTTGTAACAAAGTTTATGAAAGTGAGTCCGCTAGTTTAAGAATTATTTCGAGAGTTGAAGTATTACCGGGCAAAATGATATGACGGATTAAAAACTTCTTCACTACCTGTTATACACCTGGAATGTTCATTGCCTCTAATATGTATGGTGTTCAATTAGACAAAAGTTCTTTTTATTTCCTTTATTTTACACGATAAACACTAGTTTAAATAAAGATTACAATATTAACGACAGTTGTTGTCAACTGCAGTTTTAATAGTGGGTTTTAATTAGTTTTACTTTTTACTGTCCCTTGGGCCCGCTATACAGGGGCACTCGGCCATACACCATACTTTAAACCTTCATGCTTGTTCAAGTCATTCAAATCTTGAGCTCGCTTGGCGTCGGCAGCTAACTTCTATAAACACAGGCAAAAGCCAACACGACATACTTTGAGACAAACTATACTTTAGTATAAAATGAAGCCTTGTTCTGATTCCATGTCGAAAACCATTTACGCTTATTGGTTATTAATGCTAACAAGACAAAAATCCTTGGCTCGAAACTGTCGTCAAAATTAATAGAAAAGTCAACAAAAACGCAAAAAGACCTTGAATTTTACTAACGATGGGTTTTAATGGGTTTCCCGGAGACTTTTATCGCTTTTGCATAACGTGATAAAGTTTCAACACGTTCCTATACTTGTACGTATCGTGTTATTTTTCAGGTAGCTTAGACAATTAGAAAAAGTACGGTCCTTAACCGGGTTGAAGATGGAGAACGGCTCAACTGACAACTTCGTCAAGGTACCTCCGGAAACTTTAAAGTTTTTTATTACATTTTATTTTATTACGCGTATTAGTTTTGACGTTTGTGGAGATCAATTTCATGTTGCATTTTAAACCTCCACCATGGTAAATGGTAAATACGAGTGTCGTTCAATCAGTTCTTAGAAAATTTAAGAGATGGCGATCGTACTCTAAATATATTGGAACAAGTAGGTAAATGTCAGCTTCCCGAAATATGAACGGTTATGTTATATATTTTATGTTTGTTACTATTTAATTAGTTGTTTGATAATGCAAAAATGCTGATTCGAACATGTTTTGCCTTTCCTCACATTTCTTGAGTGCTATCAGACTGACGTAAAGAAGGGTTTGAAAGAAAGCATAAGTTGTCTTATCAACAATAATGCAACATTTTCCGTGAATTGAATTTAGCCACAACTACTGTGTTTACAGTCAATGTTGATGCTCACAGTAAAAGCTCAGGAAGTCCAAAAGCTCTGTCTCAAAGGAGTGTAAGGTAGAATATGGAAGTGGGGAATGTTTCCAGAGAATGCATTCGTAAATATGTCCAAGAGCGGTCTTAGATTGTAGGTATGTTTGAGTTATACGAATAGGTCAAAGAAATGTTGTGAATGGAAACTAAAAAAACTATTCACCTAATTCGCTGATTCTTGTTTGCAAACTTGCAGAAATGGCTTGGTGGACAAAGGTTTATGTCCATCGAGCGAGGAAATAATCGCTCAAAAAAATGCCTGTTTTAAGGAGCATCCTAAATCCTTGAAAAACGCTTATATAAATGTATAAAGTTGAAAGGAGATTACGTTAAACAATATACAAAATGCGCAAAATAATGTGTTTCTTTAAGGGCTTGTTGAACGACCTTTGTACCTCATGCCAGATACAACGAACTAATATCGACTTCTATCAACGACCTTTTTTGATATCGAACCCTAAAAAATATTTTGCAAATATTACGTAAAACTTATTTTTTTAAGAAAAGACGGAGGAGAACAACATCGGGTCCACCAATGTTGTCAGGGGCCGCAAAAATGCTGTGATAAACTTTGTGATATTTTTACTCATAACCGGGTACTGCGCCTGGGCCACGTGGTACTACGTGACTAAAACAGGTAACAGTAGGACACGATGTGCACTATCGAGTTTTAATGGCGTCGTTTTCAGAAAGCAGAAGCTGGGACAAATTCACGCAAACTACTTCCGACGGCTACGGGTTCCTGGTGATTTTGTACTGCATCTACGTATACGCTTTAGCATACTACTATTGTATCAAACCATTTATTTTACCACCACTAGAGAAACTTATATTGATGCCGGGAAAACAATCCTTGAAGCGGATAAAATACGGATCCGTCATATTTTACCTCTCCGTACTAGCGGCAACTGTAGCTTACCTGGTAGTAGATACCGCAGACGACCGACAGAGACTTATCCCTCTAATAGGGCTGACTTTGTTCCTCTTATTCGGATTCATAATATCGTCCAACCACTCGATGGTAAGTTACCCCCGCCCACAAAAGCAAATACGAGCGGTTAACTTTTCCAGATCCCATGGGACACTATAATTTGGGGCATGATCCTGCAGTTTCTTTTCGGCCTGTTAACCATCAGGTGGGAGATCGGCAGGAATATCTTGGAAACCTTCTCCGACAAGGTGAACGCTTTCCTCGACTACGGACTACAGGGAGCCTTCTTCACCTACGGCGAGTTGGTCACCCAGAACATATTTGCCTTTTCTGTACGACCAAGCTCCGCAGCTGCACGAACTTCCGCTGCCGCACGTTTTGTTTCAGGCACTCTCGGTCATTTTCTTTCTGGGATTCGTGATCAATCTGCTGTATTACTACGGGCTGATGCAAAAGTTCGTTTCTATTCTGGGAGGATTCCTGCAGATCATTTTGGGCACTTCGGTGTGCGAGAGCGTCAACAGCGTCGCGGTGGTATTCGTCGGAATGGTAGGTTTTCCGCCGCGTTGTGTTACGACGATAATATCTCTTGTGTTGGTTACAGTCTGAAGCGCCGATGATGCTACGTCCTTACTTGAAGAACTTGACGGACTCTGAGCTCCATTCGATGATGCTCGCGGGCTTCGCTTCGGTCTCAGGCAAGACTCTGATAATTTTTCCAGCAGAATGAAAGAACACCGCTTTTTCCAGGTTCCACTCTTGCGGCTTATATCAGCTTCGGCGCGAGGCCCCAAGATCTGATCACCGCCAGCATAATGTCAGCGCCTTCCGCTTTGTGCTTCAGCAAGCTTATGTATCCCGAGACGGAGGAAATCAAAATACAGAAAGACAATATCCACCTAGTCGACGTGTGAGTAATAAAAAGCCTTTTCAGACCCAATCTGTATTATATAGTCAAACTATCAACATTTGAAAAATAGATCCAGGCTCCTATTAAGAACCCACAGGTGCCATACGGTAAACTACAGATATGGAATCTCCCAAAACCCCAAAGGACTCCCAAAACGCAAATATGATGTCATCATCACATTTAATTTGGAAATAGCCATCCTTCATATCCAATGCTGTAAAAAGAAATTGGTCACTTATATCAACAGCGATTTCCTTTGATGTTGGTATTGGAAAGTGATCTTTTTGTATAGCTTCAAACGTAAATCACCATTATTTTTTTTCTACTCTCTACTTTCCTAATTGATAAGTGCCTGGCTTCTTAAATGACCCAATTTTTATTTAAGTCGTTCTAGCAGAAGTTTAGGTGCTCCTGAATGTGTGAAACTGCATCAGGTTTTAAGTAACTCTCTAAGACCTTCAAATAATTTTGGATACTGATCAATAACATGTTGCAAATTTTTAATACATATATCTGCATCTGCTATAGCAATCAAAATAACTTACTTTAGTTTACACCAAACTTCAGATATTTCCACTACTATTTTTAAAGTTTTTTTTTTAAACTACTGCTACCATAAAAAATTTACATGATCTTAGTTCTATTCACTGATAAAAGTTTTCAACATTCATGATGATATAGCGACTACCTTGGTTCCAGTATTTAATTTAAACTCTATTTGCCATTTAAAATTAACTTCTACATTTCGCCGTTTCTCCTGTTTCGACTACTCTCTACACTACCTTGCAACTTTTACTCCACTTACAAGTGAACTTTCAAATCTATTTCAATTTCTTGAAGCTTTTTTCTCACCAACTTCAGTGTTTTTTTTTTCATTTTTGTCTCTTGGACATGCATATCCATAACGATTCAGAATTCAACTTAAACTATAGTTGTTTGTGCTCTCAGACTGTGTCTTCAATCTTCTGATTACTCTCTACACTGCCTACAACTTTCACTTCACTTATAAAAAATTCGTCTAAGCTATCAGTGACACATTTGAAGTCTCATCTTCAATTTAAATTTCCTGAATCTCATATGCCGGGTACATTTTGCTGTTGTCTTGCCATATGCACAACACGGTTTGGATTTCAGATATTTGTGACACCAAAAACTACAAGAACTTTCAACTCTTTGGTCCTTTAATTCTTAACAATTTTCGAAAGTTAGTTTCGATTGTCGCAGTTGAATATGCCTATCCAAAATGCCCATAACGACATGCTTTGATCTTTGTAGTCTGTCGTTATAACAGCCTTACTGAGCTAGGCTAAAAAACTAGGCTGTTAAATTTGAGCCTCTCAAATATCATATTGGTCGTTGGGGCACAATAAACATTGATGGAATCTAGCTTATCCTTTTGTCTTGCGCCAGACGCATAACTCAACCTCAAGGGCATCGTCTCCAACTAAATTTAAGCTAGGCTACTTTTTTATTCTCTTCCTTAACCCACAACTCAATTGTTGAATACTTCAAACTTTTACAAAAACTTTTACCGATTGGGTTCCATTTTTTTTCTAGTGGATTTTATCCTGGACAAGAAACTGTTTTTAGACCTGACACCATGTGTTGAAAAAACAAACTGTCCACATTTAAAACATAGATCTAGGCTATTTGATAATCGTTTTCTTCGTAGAGAACATCGTTCCGCTATGGAAGCAGCCAGCAAGGGTGCTACCGACGCTTTCCATCTCATAGCGGCCATCATCTCGGGCATCACAGCCTGTCTTTCCTTCGTTTACTTCATCAACGGCGTATTAAGCTGGTGCGGTGCTCAGGTAGGTTTCACCGACGACGACAGCAAATGGACGCTGGATATCATCGCCGGTAAGATCTTTACCCCGGTTTCGTGGGTAATGGGTATCCCGTGGGACGAATGCGAGAAGGTGGGCCAGCTGATCGGAGTCAAGACGATGGTCAATGAGTTCGTCGCATTTCAGCAAATGGGCAACATGACTCTCACGGTATGACTACCTAACGGCACGCATTGCGTTACTTTATTCGTTTGTCGTTCGCAGCTGAGGAGCAAGGTGATCGCTACGTACGCTATTTGCGGGTTCTCGAACCCCGGCTCCATCGGCATAGCTATATCTACCATGTCCGCTTTGGTGCCAGAAAGAAAAGAGGCCGTAGCCAAGCTAGTGTTTCGGGCGTTCGTGGGCGGTGCTTTAGTGTGTTTGATGACGGCCTGTATCGCTGGGATTCTGATGCCTCAGTCAGTTCTGGAAGGCGGAGCCGATTTGACGAACGTCACGATGACGGATTTGAGAATATGACATTGAATTGAAGACAATTATCGGGCATTAAATTGTTAAGCGTATGTTGTGGTTTTAGTTTTATTTACCTATAAAATTACCTTCTGTACTTATACAGGGCGGCTCACTAGTGCAGGATTTTTCTTCTTTTATTATTTTTAATTAATTGTCCTAAAGAATTATTAGTTTTAAGATCAATTTTTAGATGTCTCTGTTTACAAAGGAGGAACAGTTAATAATATACGATATGCCGAGGATACCGTAATTATAGAAGAAAATCTCGTAGACCTGCAAACCCTAGTAAACAGAGTCGACGAAGCTATTACATTTAAACGGAGAACCGTTGGAGAGAGTAACATAGAACAAGCAAGAAATGCAACAAACGAGAAGTTTCTAAAATGTTACATATAGTAGTAGTACAAGGTCGCTTAATAAAGAAATGCTATCCTGGACAACAAGAAAAAGAAATTAAGAAGTTCTTTGGAGAATGGGACACGACAGACTATTTTATGAATATTATATAGCGACGAAAAGTTGAATACCTAGGTCATATAATTAGAGGACTTCGAAATGACTTTCTTCGACCAATTATTCACGAAAAAATTTAAAGAAAAAAATGGATTGGGCGAAAGAGATTTTCAACACTAGGAAAAATTCAACAATGGACAGGCCTTAATGCAGACGAGTTAGTCAATGTAGCACAAGATCGGGAAAGATATAGAGACATCGTGAATATGGCAGTCGTCAACGTTCAATAGGGATATAACACTTGAAGACAAAAATGTGTATGTTTTATGTTTACGAAGAAGCGGAATTAACTATCATCACACAAATTCTTTTCAAATATATTAGTCAAATATTATTGAAGCAATTGTAAAGAAACAAAAGCACCAATGACAGTTTAAAAATGATTTTTTCCAATAATTTTTATTAAATATAATATTTTAACTTATTTCGAAAATTCCAGTGAAAAATTGGCCAACTCCTTAAGTAAACATAATCTGAAAATAGCTTTTAAAACTAATAGTGCTCTAGGACAATCAATTGAAAATGATTGCCCCAAGCCATATAGGCCATATGTTTTAGTAAACAAATAAAATAACACTCTTTGATTTCAAGGATGCAATTCATTTAAAGGAATGTAATCATAGTTTCAATCTAGGTTCCAGTGCTCTCGGTGTTCAAGGTAGTTTTGCGGATTCGATAGGCAACATATTTGATATCTTCAGTGTTAACCTCAAATCTTTCCTACAATTAGAGCCATGCGTGTGTATGCATGCTCACTTTGGCCTTTCCCGCTATATACCAGCAAAAAAACTCCGATTTTTGCGAGTGCACATATGTCGATGTTGTGGTTGTTCATTCCTATCAGTATCCCTTCCGGCTTCTTTTCTCGCAGTCCTGTTTCGTAGTGCGGGTGCTCGTCTTGATATTTTTCCGTCTTGTATCGGAGACATTGTGATCGTGTCTATAAGCATATGTTTTTGTTACCGGAGCAGAACCGAACCCTCATTTTTTACCCGGGCTTCGGACCGGCTCTGTTATTAATGAGAAACTAGCTGTACCCAACAACAGCATAGGCAGAGTTATATAATAAATTAATAATTGTTGAGATTGTTACCATGCAATTGTTTTAGTAAGTAAGTACTTTGCGCCCGTCCCTCGTATACAAGGGAAGGAGGAACGTAGGGCATTTAACAACACTCTTAAAAACAGGTGATAGAGATTCATCGAAAATGCCCGATTTTTTTTACATGATTCAGGTTTCTGATTGACAACGACAGTGTTTTTATTTATTTTTCATTTACTTTTCCGCTGAAAGTTCAAAAAATAAAAATTCAAAAATTATGAAAATCGGCGGTGGCGGCATCTCTGAGCAAGCGCCGTAATCGCAAACCAGCTTCGGTCAAGGAATCGGTAAGTTACCTGGACAAGTCGCAACTGTTGCCACCACATGTCGCCAACAGCGTTAACTTTTTGTATTAAGGCGCCAACAAATAAAAATATAACCTGTTATCCTGCAATTCTTGTTTATAGTAGTTGTTGTTAGTTAGTTCACCCATAATATTTTAAAGTAGTTTTTCTTGCCTCGTTTCAAATATTTTCCCTATTCTACTACCTATCAACCTATTCGACCTTTGACCAGATTCTGGATGAAAGGATTGGGCATTTTAAGTCTTATATTAATGGAATTTATTTTTGAATAATATTTTAAAGCTAAATAAAAATGTAGAAAGAAAAAGACTAAAATATTTCTTGGGCATTTTATGCAATAATCTCAATTTCAAATTTCTGTTTTTTTTTATTTGGTACACACAAATTTGAATTTTGATTCAAGATTGGTTATTTTTCCAGCTTTGATAACCATTCTTATCAATAAATATGCAACGTTCTGTCTTTTTTTGACTTTTGAGACGCCTCCAGTTGACCTCTACAGGCCCGGCATTAATTAATTAATTTATTTATTCTGTGTTTAATAAAGCTTGCATTTTTCAACAATGATTGCTTATATGTATAAACAAGTACTTAGTGCGTAAAGCATAACATACATACTTGGTTCCACCAAACTATAATTTTTATTTACACACACTAAACACATACAGTTAGCAAAACTAGTTTTTTTTTTGGCTAACTAACCTACACTAATCAAAACTAACCAAAACTAGTTTTTTTGGCTATTTTAATTGATTTACCTTTGACTGACTTATTACAAACTGAATAATTCGATGGACTAATTTAATACATAAATTACGGTTAAATAAAATTAGAAGTTTTCTCCAGGTGGCCACTAATTTGCGTAAAATACTAAGTGTCCCAAGAAGGTCAACAAGGAAATGGACAGTTCTATAACTAAAAAAAAATGAATGAAATGGTCACCAAGGGGCGTAATGGTTATCCGGACTTTTAAAACTCCGTTTCAACTTTCAAATGTTAATCTTAGGGACAGTATTTCAAATCTGAGACAAATTCAAATATTTTTTGTTTGCTCTACATCTGCAGGGAAATAAATGTCCATATCTCAAAGAGGCTTAACGGATTTTGATTACATCAGGAGCCGTTAAAAAGGGCTTTTATTAAGCTATCTATCGTGCTGTGAGTGAGCCATTCTTGTAAAAAAAAAATTTTAAAGTTTAACATTTCCTAACTCACTTAGTAACAATTACGAGCCCTCTGGTTTCTAGCATTTTCTCTTCTTCTTCGTTGCCTTTATTTAGGCACCCGGTATATACGAACGCAAATACGGTTGGTTGGTTTTAACACGCAAGCAGTCTAAAGGCCCCCACAGACGCTCAGTTTTTTAGTACAGGCCAACTCTGTAGGCCAATTTGTGCAGTTTAACTGTATTATTGCCTGTCCCACACACACGTAGTTTTATAGCATAGTTCTTTCTATACAGCCAACTGAGTAAATTCACACTCACTAGTTTTTCTATACTTAGTAAAAGAAAATGGCTTCTCGAGACACGGCATTATATTGCATTCTGCTTGCCTGTGCAATAAAGAAAAAGCCAAAAATGGAATGGTTGGTTCAAAGAAGCAAATGGACCAAAGATTGGTAGCTCAAAAGAAATGATTACTCAATGATTTGCTTGCTGATTTGAAACTTGAGAAGCAGGATTGGTTTAACTACCTAAGAATGGACGAGACAACCTACTTGAAATTATTGAAACTCGTTTCATGCCAACTACTCTAAGATTTCTCGCTACTGTTTTCAACAATAATTTCACCTCAGGCATTGGGACAAATAATACCAGAAACATGCAGAGTCATATTCAAAGTATTGAAAACAGACATTATTAAGGTAAGTAAACATTTTATTCCAAAAATTCAAAAACGTAAAATGTTAATTCCAAAATCAAGGGTTGAAAAACATATCTACAAATTATTATTCGGCTTCGGGATTATACCCACGCAGAAAAGTACCTAAATTTTCATTATTATATTGTTCTTGAGTAGATTGCATTGGCATCAGTTGACGAGAGGCTTCCATACAATTGGAATTTGTAGCTGCAGGCTCTTGCTCCAACTTATAATTTCGGTTTAAGCATCCTAGTTCTGCTACGAGCAACACATCATTGATGATCTTTTCAGCATATATTCGTTGCTAATGTGGCAAGCTTCTTAGTTTTGAGGCTATAGTTTTGCCTATAGTATCAAATTTTTTGAGTTTTTCCACCAACACATCATAGGCTGCGGACTTGTTATTTCTGGTACCTCAATAAATTCGCTTAAAAACTGTTTGTTAACGTTCGTCATTTTGTTGCTTACTATTTTTGGATTCTAAATAAACCTTAAAACTGAACAAATCAACTGAACGAGTCCACACACGCTCAGGTTTCCAAGTTTGCGCAGGCTAAATTCAAGCACGGTGTGATTTTGCTCAGGCCAGGCCAACGGTCTGCGCAGTCGGCCGGACGTCCACACAAACGCACCGATATGCCTGCACAAACTAGGTTTGCACAGGCCGCCGGTATTAAAAAAACTGAGCGTCTGCGAGGGCCTTAATGTAGGGTCGGTTGCATATATAGGCGTCTCAGAAACGGGACACCGCGCATTTAAAGCTCCGCGGCGTTGTGACATCTACCTGCAACAAAGATAAATCCGGCGAATAACTTCACATGTTCCAGTAGATTTCAACACTTTAATTTATAACTAAAATAAAAGTTCAAAATCAAATACGTTTAGTTATAACGAAAAACTCGATACGACGCGAGGGGCGCAACTGTGCAGTTAGATCCGACAACGCCGTCATTCGATCTCGACCAATGAAATCAATAACCGATATCGAATGTACCGGACCGATAATTTCGTAGCGGAGCGTGTCCCCGAGCCAGTTTAAAAAAAATAGGCACATTTCGTAAAGCAAAGGTCCGAATTCGTTTAGAAAAATGTACGCCCACTGCCCAAAATAATTATCTAAACAGCTAAGAGTACAGCAATAATTCCGCGACTCGGACGCGCTTCGCTGCTCGTGCGCATGTCGTTGCGTTTCAAAACGGACCCGCGACGACTGGGTCCAGGCCGTTGTTCCTCTATTTTCTCCTTTCGCTTAGATATTTTAACGTCCTTTCCGATTATGGAAACCCATGAGGCTATATCGAAACGAAATCTTCTGGTTTACGGAGTTGTTTGGATTGTTTTGACCTCTTCGTAACTGCGATCTGAATTTACTTGGATAACCGAAGCACTTAAACTCCGGCCTGGAATGGGCTTACGGGCCCTCCGAGAGCGTGTCCGTTGTCACAAGGTTTGTAAACATTTCGTTAGACATTTGACAATCGGTTCCAACATGGCGGTGTGTGTCGCGAGTGATCCAAGTTAACAGGTGAGTTTTTCGTTGTTTTCTATTTCGTCCGGCGCTAGAAAATTGTCCGAGCCGCGGAGTCCAATCCTTCGGCTCCTCTTTCGACCCCCGCCCCCGAACGATGCCCCGATAAGTGTCCGAATGCCGCCAAAATCGCCAATCTATCGATTTATTTTACCTACGGGCGACTACGATGCTCCGATCGGTTGTTGTTTAATTATTTTTGTTTGGTTCAGTCGTCGTCGAACGACGCTGTAACGTTTTCGGGGCCCGCGCTAGCCGTCCAATGGGCCATGACCGTAGGGGCCTTGTTTTGTTTTATCGATACGGCTTCAGGGTTTTGTTTACTCGGGGGTCGTACGCGGCGAGTGCCTGAAGTGTGCCTAATTTCCTAGTTCTCTAAACGATGTTTCTGTGAGCTTCATATTATGCAGAATTACTATACCGAGGTGAGAATGTTACGGGCATATCTATTTATATATTTTTAAAGCATCTTTATTGATAAAAACCGTTCATATTAGCGTCTAGTCAAAATCGTGACGTATGTCAATGAGCGTACGTGTTGGTGTGTTTTTTTCGCTCAAAACGTGTACCATCAGTATAGAACCGCCTCCTAGGAATACGATTATATTCGCGGCGTGTGTTTTTATAAAGGGATTTTAAATGCCGGTTAAAAAAAGTTCCTAGCAAAGTAGTTAATCTGCGTGCTCGATGCTTTGATAGTTCAAAAGTCGATACATAGAAAAAGCTAAATATAACAAATATCCGAAAAAAGATTTTAATTTCTTTAATGGCTAATTTGTGGCATTGATTTATAAAGTTTTATTACGTATTTACAAAGTATGCATCATACAGGGTGGACAGGATAGCGTGTAACTTTGCAGCCTTAAACTGTAAGAACGATAGAGAGGGATTTATAAGAAACCTTAGCTATAACTAGCCACAAGAAGTTTAATTATTGTCCATTAGTTTTTCAGTTCTTTTTATTTTTAAAAGGCTTACGAAGGATTTTATAAATGCCTTTTTGCCAACTTAGAAAACTATGTAAGGCACCAGGAATAAGGCTATAAGGCACCAGGTAAGTGCTACCAAACTTTCCATAGTCTTTATAATATTACTTGAAAGCTCGTATCAAAGTATAGGTTTTTAAAAAGCGGACATTTTATATGGCTGCCCTTTTTTATGTTTTTTCTAATTGTCATAAGAAAGGCATAATTTTAAGCAATATTACGGTGAACTTGAAGACGTATTTCATCACAAATATGCTATTAAAAAATGGTTTTGCATTGCAATTAAAAAACAATCATGAGCATAAATTTAATTTCTACCAAAACTAAGTTTTTCAATGCTGCTTTAGTTTCAGGAAGGGTAAAATATAAAATTATTCGATAAATTTTTCGGTACAAATAAAATTGTTTTGTTGTTTTCGAGCTGCTATAATTTTTAATAAGACAACGTTATAGTAAACAAATGATATAGAAAAAATTAAGCGAAAGGGGGGCTTTTTGTTTAGTGTTTATGAATAGCTTTTATAATATATTTAGGTCGACTTTATAGCGGCGGTTAGGTAAGCAAAAGTTTTATATGTGCTTAAAATATGGTTACCCTTATCTTTTATAGAAGTAACGAAAAAATTCGGTAGGTTTTTAGGTTTTATAAAGTAGGTAGTCGAAACGTAACCGTTATCATTATAAAACAATAAATGTTAGTTGGTCGGGGTTACAACTGAAAAACGGCAGACTAAAAAATTTGCTTTTCTACGTTACTGTGGTTACTGTGGGCCCGTAATGCATCATTTCTATCGGTCATTAACGCTCACGAAATGTCGTAAAAAACTGTGCAAACAAATCTCCATCAACATGATTAGATAGATACATCTTGGTTTAATTGTATTTTAATAACAGAGTTACTTATCTCTTACCCGACTCGGGCGTCCTGGCGTAGGTACGTTTCATCTTAAAACTTTGCTGATAAAATTTGCAGTTTAAACGCAGCCTCACGGTAACTAAAATAATATTGCTTATGACTTTTCAGTCTATATGGTAAAATCTATTATAAAATACAAAATTGGGTTAACTTCAGGGTTACTCAAAGTTAGACTCGATTTGCATACATATTTTTTGAAATTGCAGTAACAGGGGCTACTTGTAATCAAACGAACACCAAAATAACAAGTCTCCACCCTTTATATAAGTCGAGCTTTCAGAAATACAGAGATGTTCCATCAGGAATGCAGGACACGAATTTATTCATAGCTGCTTACATTAATATATCGTTAATACCTCCTACTGACGAATCATAGTAAATTTAATATTAATTATTAACTTTTAATTAATATTAACTTTCGGAAATAAGGGCAAGGTTTAAGTAGTGGTTATACTTTTCTTTCAAATCAAACAAACAATTACAGAAAGACCCAAAAATTCCTGATTAATTCGTAACCCCGATACAAGAATGATGTCACCACTAATAGGTTAATACAATGTTGAATACTTAATAATTTTTCCTTTTTCTGTGGCCCATTGGCATTTACGCACAGTGCTATTTTTAAATGTATACTTTTCTGAGCTGTTGGCCTGGCAAGTAGTCCTGAAGTACCGAATAACAAAAAAAGAAGCATAATTCCATTTTTGCACTCTTCGTTCTGCTTTAGTAATTGCTTGTTGGGCACTCCATGAGGTTTTGATATGATTCTACGTTGTTTAAATCACAAAAAGGGTTTTTATTAAATTTGGTAGCGAAATAGGTTGATCATGCTAATTCATTAAACAAACTAGTTAAAAAGAACGCACTACAAGGGTTCAAACAAGTGACCATAATTTTTCAAACACAGATATCATCTGGTAACTGTCTAATTTAAAACATTTTTTAACACTCTGATACTTCCTAGTATTCGTAAGATGTTCTTCGCCTTTCATGGGTACCAGGTTTGAGCGTTTGACAAATTCTTATATTGCTGTTCGTTTTCAAAGTGTATCTTAGAACTTCGGACATGATGTCACAAAAAATAATTTTATTTACGTTTAAGTCTTAGGCATGTACAGAATGTTTTAAGAAAAAACAATTTTATACTCAAGTAGTATCAAACGATTACAAGAGGAGTTTTATAATACCAGACCACATACTGGAAGAATAGTACAAAATTATTTAAATGAGGTGAATATTTAAACCTTGGGAGTGGCCTCCACGCAGTCCAGACCTCATCCCAATAGAACAATTATGAGATCAAGGTTAGGTGAAGGTTGGTTAAGGATCATCAACCGGCACATGCCTTCTTTGATGATGTAGTAATCATTATCAGGGATATATGGACTAATATCAATCAAGCAGAAATTAAGCGACTTGTTCAAAATTTCCGTATTTTATTTAATAAGTGAGATAAAAACGTGAATAAAAAAAACAAATGCTGGGCAAGTATGGGGCTATGCTATGCAGCAGTTGAACTGACCCAAATTTTTATGGTGCGCCAACTTTGATGCGAAGTATGACCTTCACTATCAACCGCGTTTTGGTAAATGTAAATAAAATTTAAGAAAAGCCGCTCGTTAGATTAATCATTTTTATCTTTCTGATATCTGGAAAATGCGTTTATCTTGAAATCACGCCGTATTTTTGAAAGTCGTGGAAAAGTTGGAAATGTGATATCCTTTAGATTTCGGCGAATTCGGGACGCACTGTGTAATTTCTAATTTAAACATATAAATAATAATAATATTCTTTAATTCTTAGTTCAACTCATATTGGAGATACGCATATTCAATTCTTTTCTTTGCGTTTATGTTTATGTTTTGCGAAACGTGGAACAATAACAATTTAGTGCTTAGTCGTTGAGCAATTTCTGCCAAATTCGTACGAGCGAAAAGTGCACCGTTACACACAAGCGTATGTGTGACGAATGACGTATCGTCGCGGTCGCCGTTTGGTATTCAAGGCGGGAACTGCCGCCATTGAAATGTCGCAATTCTGGCCAATGTCGAAAAAATCGCGGGAAATATCGGGGGCAAGAGACGTTTTAGACAGTTGGACGAAGGACGACAGTGGTCAGTGAAGTATACAGAGTGTTAAAAGAAAAAGGAACTTCAAATGAACTAAACCGAAAGTCAGGGCAGGGCAGGTGGCTTAACTGTGTCTCAGTGCTTAAAATTAGAATTATAGTTATGTCCAGGCAGTTCCTTCCTCCAAATTAGTAAAAATGGGCTTTTTCTCAATGGTTCAAAGTTCTTCGCCACCAAAACTCAACATTCTGAGTAGCAAAAATATTTTAAATGTGTTCGAATATGGCTAAAGTTGGCCAGTCAACAATATACCTACTTGTGCAGGAGGATTAACGCTGATCCAACGAGTCACCAAAGACACATACAGGAAGAAAATAAAACCGCAATAAATGGGGATGAAAAGACGTTTTACTTCAAAAAGAAATACCTACCTTGGACAAAATAATGTTGGTGTTGCAACTTTTATTGTTTGGAATAAAAGGATTCAACACAACAAATAAATGCAGATCAACGGAACAACGCAGTCGCTTCGTTGAGAACTAACCAATTTGCTTAATAGTTAACAATTTTTGCTTGTTTACTTTTGACGTTTGCCAATTCTGACGGTGATGTCAGTGAATGTATTTGTGTTGTTTTGCGAGTTGCATAATATTCTACTTTCTACTCCCGTCTGTAAAATACCTAATTACCGACCGATCTAGCTTGCGGGAAGCGTCACTTTACCACGTCAGTTTCGTTTCTCACGAATCCGAGCCATCGGATGTTTTCGGAGGTATTTCCCACGCTTTGACTTTTGACGTTTGAAAATTGTGACGGTCATGTCAGTGAATGTATTCGTGTTGTTTTGCGAAAATGTACCCAAAAACTAACGGTCGTAGAAAAAGTATAGTATGCAACACGTTCGGTAAACTTTTTAACTCACTCGTTTATTAAAAACTCGCGCCGCTGCTCTCAACTCGTGTCAAATAAACTCGTGAGTCAAATGCCATTTACCGCACTTGTTGCATAATATACTATTACTTGCCTTAAAAAACGTACTTGGCACTTTCACAATGCTTGAAGTTAAACGCTGTTATGAAGCTGCTAAATTTCTCATTCCAGCACTGTAGGGTCTGCTTTAATTTCTAGAGGCTTCTTTTCAGCTGGCAGACAGCATGCGGATTGCCGGTGCTAATGGGTCTTTTAGGCTGTTGCGGTAAATCTTCTGCTGAAGTCCGCTGTAAACAAACGCTGTTTTTACGTCGAACTTCATTAACTCGTAGCCTCTAGTAGCGGCAAATTGCTAATAATAGCTTAATTGACTCATATCTTTCGACTGGTGCGTAGTCTCCCGTGGTCTCACGCGGAGAAAATCATTTTGCGACAAGTCTAGCTTTGTATCTTCGGACATTTCCTGCAGGGTCTGTTTTTACAGCAAAAATCCATCTGCAGCCAATTACACGTTTACCCAGTGG